TGGTACTTTGTCCTGTGTGCAGGCTGTGAATGTTTTTCTCAAAGGAGGCTCTCATATTTATCGAGACCCTGTTTCTGTTGGTTAATTGGTAGTCGTAGAGCTGGGGATATCTGTCGTGAATTCGAATAAGGCTGCTGGTTTTGGTTTGCATTTTGCTGACCAAGGGCGGAGGAAAGGGGCCCATGTGACGCCTGTTGCTGTTGCTGGAAATTTGACGGGGGTGGAGGAGGGATTGAAAATTGAGAAAGGGGTATAGTTGGCTGCAAGTCTTGGCCAAAGGACGAAGTTGATGGTGATACTGTTGATGCTGCAGATGTGAATGGATAGATCTGGTTTGTGGAATACTTATTCATTATCGAAGTGGGTTGTTGGATTTTGTTGCTGTTCGCTATTGGGGCCATTGTCGACCAAGGTGAAAGCGGTGAAGGTTGAGATGGTTGAGATGGTTGAGATGGCCGTGAAGGCTGCAACGTGGGGAAAGATGACCCCATAGATGGCTGCTGTTGTGCAGCAGTAGGAGCAAGTGTAGGAAAGGAGTTTATACTCATATCTGGCGTAATCGACCGATGACTAGGGCCTGACAGGTTCGCAAGTGAATTACGACCTCCAGAATTGTTAGCATTGACAGAATTTACGGTCGACCACGTAAATTGGGGTGTGCTATTAATCGTATTTTGCGCTGCTGCGCTTGAGCTTGCAGTGTCCCAGGAATTCCATGAAGTATTGTCAGAACTTGATGTCGTCGCTTTTTTGCCAAGGACTAAGCTTTCGAAATCTGATCGTGTGGCTTCAACATTGGTTCTGCCATTTGAAGTCTCCATCATTCCAAATAAATTAGGATTGCTGCTTCTAGGGTTGTCGGGATCGTTTGAAGAGGAGAGTGACTGTAATTTCTTCATTTGCTGTTGTTCCACCTTTGAGGAGAGGGACTTGATCAGGTCCATGAAACCACCAAATTGCTGGACATTGAGAAGAGGGCCAAGGCTGAAATTCCATAGTGTTGGAATGATTTCCAGCGCGATGAATTCGGTTTCAGCAATTTGGCCGACCTGTCGAAACACATTTAGAGCTGCCATCATAACTGCGGGTTCTTTCGTTTTAATGGCTTTTAGTAGGGGAACCAGTTTATCTTGGACAGTATACTTGTCAAGAATTGACGCTGAGCCGGATTTGGATTGCTGGGGATTGCTTGACATCCCCACGAAATCACCACCAGAAGTCGAGGGTTCCTCTTCTATGGACCCACCGCATAAAATAACGAACGATTCCAAGCCTCGGACTTTGATAGCAAGACTGCTGGTTCTGGTGAAAACGGAAGCAATAGGAGGGAAAATGACATCCTTCACGGTTGAAAAATCGAGAATCGGCAACATCACAGGGAGACACCGCATTGAAGCGTCGACAAGAGAGTGGGTACCAGACTCTAATCCTAAGCGAACCAGAGGTAGTACATCTGGCAAATTTCCGTTAGTGGACTTGGCGAATGTCAATCAAAGGACGTCAATATACAAACCATTTTTAAAATCTCGCCCCGAGCATGTGTTAGCAATAAGTTCCATATTCTCCAGGACAACCATGAGACTAGCATCTTTGCTGTGGTCGCGATCCTGCGTGGATGTCTTTGTACCAGCTGGGAGAAGAACTGACTTGAGATGAGGCAAGATCTTCTCGGGAACGACGCGCGGACCGGATGGAATAATTTTGATGATTTTAAAGACATTCGACAGGATAAGTGGCAGTAATTCTTTGTCCTTGCTTTCATCCAAGAGAGCAACAAGAACCTTCTTTTCAAGCACAGAAGACGAGAATTCTGGTAATATGCGTCCCAATCCTTTCATGAATTGGGTCTTCTCGTTGGCAGTTTTCGCAGGAAGAGACTCCAGAAAGCGTATGGTTGACATTAGAATATTATCGAAATATTGAGATTGTTGGAACTCCTTTGCATCCATACGCTGAGCTGGTCTTCTCGTTATGAGTCGAGGCAAAACGAAGGATGATAGATCTTTTGGTATTTGACCCGAGGCAAGAAATCCATTACTTTGTGAAGGTATTGTCGATGGTGAGCTCAATAATTTTTTGTATGTAGAAGGGTTGCCGTGAGTTTTTAGAGGAGATGTGTGGGGGTAATTATAAAGAGTAACAATGATAAGGCCTAGGGAAAAGAGGTCCGCAGATGTGGAAATGTTCGAGTCCATGACGAAGTCAGGGGATGTATAGTCCAGGTTAAGTTGAACGGCAGCTGGCAATCTGGGATCTTGATATAAAACCTCCGAAAGCGCGAGCGGAGGTAGCGGCGACTGTGACCCTGTATCAGCTGGACCGGCAAAGGCAAGTCCAGATATTTTCCAGTCTGATTTCGCGTTGATGTAGATGGCCTCGGGGGTTAGGTTGCCGTGGACAAGACCGGCAGATTCATGCAAAAATGCTAGGCCTTTGGCAATTTGCAATAAGCCTTTCTGTACTTCGATTTCATCCAATTCGGTACTATTTCCATTTCCAGATACATCGGAATCCTCACGGGTAGAGAGGCCAGCTCGTCTGCTCCCTCGTGAAAGCTGCTTTTGGTCATCTTTTCCCCCCAGGAGTCCGGCTAAAGATGTGGTGACTGGCTCGGTTGCAAACATCAAACCGCCATTTCGAGTCTCCTCCACTGGTTCCAGGACCTGGAGGATTGAAGGGTGTCTTAGGCGGGTTAGGCTGCTTGCCTCCCGTTTAAGCCTTTCAACAACTTCATCATGTAACTTTTTTAGCGATGAGGAGTTAGGGCGGGAACCAAGGCCACTAGGGAGTGCCTCAAGGAATTTCCGATCAAAAACGAAAACAGATGCTGCATTTCCGGTACTCTTTTTCTTGCCATCATATACTTTCCAGGGGCCCGAAGTAAATGAGGGGTGTGGAGATAGCTGGTAATTGGAAGCAATGTTTGAGCCAAAAGACTTCAAAGCAGACGAAAACATGGCGAATTCAGAAAATACAAAAAAGCCAAGGAGCCAAGACAAGAAGACGTATCCGTATATATGGTGAGACCCAAGCAACAGCTTGAAGTTTAGAATGATCTCAGCTCAAGGGAGTTACTCCCTTCCGGAGTGATTAATCCATGAACCAACAACACCTGACATCAACACTAACATCTGAACAACATGCGACCTTACTCTTCTTCTCTCTCGCTCCTCAAATAGAATACGGGGATATGGGGAATCGCAATATTCACACCTACCCCTACACACCCGATGGGTTATGGATCGTATGTTGGCACGGCGTCTATAGCAGGGCAGTCAAAATAAGAATGCGTCAGCCTCAGATGCGGCTCAACACCCTTCCACTGCTAGCCACAGTCACATGGTATCACGTGCTAAATATGGTCTCCACCGACTGCCGGCGCTCGGGACTGGAGGAAGAGGCGCGGCACAAAATGGTCAGACACGGAGAATCAACAAAACTGTTTTCCTGACAGCGGCAAATCGTCACGCCCTTCAGCAACTAACCGCGGTGACTCAACCCGTTATATTTCCCCTTCCACCTTCCCCCATTTCTCGTATTCTCCCTTTCGAAAACCAATTGAGTCCAGTGAAAAATCATGAAGTCTGTTGTGTCCGCCATAACTCGTAGGGGAATTCCTGCACTTAGCAGCAGTAGCTCCGCATGGAGATATTCCGTTCCCTGCCAAAGGAAATACAGCTCGAATTTTGCAAGCCGGAGCGATGGATTACCTGGAGTTGACGTCTCCAAGCTATCAATTACGAAAAATCCCTCCCCCAGCAAACTCACTCCCCCGGAAAAACTCGTTTTCGGGTCGACATTCACTGGCAAGTACTCTGCCATTGGAAATGCTCTATTAGAGATATAAATATATACATGGAATCACTAATTTATTGTTAAATACGCTCTTAGACCACATGCTTATGGTAAAATGGAATACCAAGGATGGCTGGTTGTCTCCAAGCATCGTTCCCTTTCAAAACCTCAGTCTCAATCCTGCGACCTGCGTTTTCCATTACGCGTTTGAGTGTTTTGAGGGAATGAAGGCATACAAAGACAAGGATGGTGGCATCCGGTTATTCAGACCAGATATGAATATGGCACGATTAAATAGATCATCGAAGCGTATCGCGCTTCCAACACTCGATGAGGATGCTGCGATAAAGCTCATCAGTGAGCTTGTTAAATTAGACAGCAGATTTATCCCCCAGTAAGTAAGCTTTGTTGATTGGATTGCTAATGGAATTCGACATTATATTTGTTCGTTTGCTTATACTGATTGACTATATCTCCCATAGAACTCGTGGTTATTCGTTGTATCTAAGACCCACAATGATTGGTACGCAGGAGACGTTGGGTGTTAGCGCTCCTTCCTCTGCCCTGCTCTTCGTCATTGCTAGTCCTGTTGGTCCTTACTACCCAACCGGCTTCAAGGCTATTTCTCTAGAGGCAACAGATTACGCGGTTCGTGCATGGCCTGGCGGAGTCGGGGACAAAAAGCTGGGTGCAAATTATGCTCCATGCATTGTCCCTCAGACCGAAGCGGCAAAGAGAGGCCACCAACAGAATCTGTGGCTATTCGGAGAAGAGGAGTACGTCACGGAGGTTGGGACCATGAATCTTTTTGTTGCGTTAAAGAACAAAGAAACTGGGCAAAATGAACTCATCACGGCTCCGCTGGATGGAACGATTTTGGAGGGAGTCACCAGAGATTCAGTCCTAACTCTTGCCCGGGAGAGACTGGGCCCCAGAGGTTGGACGATATCAGAGCGTAAGTTGACAATGTCAGAAATTGCCCAAGCTGCTGATGAGGGTAGGATGATCGAGGTATTCGGAGCAGGGACTGCGGCTATTGTTAGTCCCGTCCGCACCATCAGCTGGAAAGGACGTACGGTGGATTGTGGTTTGAAAGAAAATGAAGAAGCCGGAAAAGTAGCTCTCGAAATGAAGAACTGGATTGAAGGGATTCAGTATGGAGACGAAGAACATAGTTGGAGGTAAGTCAAACAGGATCATCCGCCACCAACCACCCCCTCTCTGCAACGATATGACCTAAGTATTCTTCTAGTGTTAAAATTTAATCCGACTCTCTTTGAATATATATGCTATTAAAACATATTTCGCGTGATTTGTATTTGCTACGGCATAGATACTGAGGACGGCCACATTTCTATACCGATTTGGGTTCAGTCATTACCTTTTACATGTTTTCAGTTTTATATCCCCTGTATTCGGAGAACAACTTGTTTTAGATCTTGGAGAAGCCCCCTTGTGGATCTCGGTTACCATCGATTGGAACTCATTAGTTGTTGTATGTCCACATCCTGGCCATCCAACAGAGAGATGAAAGTCCTGCGGGAAACGAAGGAGGCTAAATTCAACAACTCCTACACCATCATACTGTTTCTGACTTAGTCTTGTCTTATTTCCGGTGCCATACAATCAAAGGTTCGTTTTAATTACCATGCTCAACGCACGTAGGAAGGTCCCAAACGAATGTGCCATCAATCTGCAGAATCCAATGCATGGGCCCAGAGAGTCCATCTGGTTAGTCTCGCCCCCAACCACCTAATCCTCTCTCAGGGGGGCTAGGATAGGAAGGCAAGTAATCTACCGGCCAAGGGGATCTGCTCCAATCAGAAGCGTGGAGGGAGAGAAAGATCTTCAAGAAGATCCATCGATCCACTTCTGAGGCGAGTTGAGAGTATTAATTCACCCTGCTCCTTACAAGAGTATTTTAGTGATTTACATGAGCTCCGGTAAGAAATATCTGAGATGTTGACGAAGGCGGGGAAATGGGGAAAGTAAGTCAAATACTACCAGGAAAGGAAGATATGAGACGCCTACCCACGGCAACATTCTCCATGCAAGTTATTGCCACAGGTGGTTGGCCAGGTTGCCCCTTTCTCCCGACAAACCCATGTCTCTATCCCGGGGTTCTCCCAACCTTGCCTTTCGTTCGCTTCGGGCTTCTGGGACAAACTCCGGGCAAAGAGCCTTTGTTCCTTTTAATTTTATGGAGTTTCGGCTGCTCGCCTCCGTTTTTCCCTGTCATTTGCACTTAGGAAACAAAACATTATATGGTGATTGATCTCACTGCGCATTGATAAAGTTCCTTGGTAACCTGCATAGTATGCTATTCAGGGTTTGGGGGTGTCAAATTCTTGTCAAAGGGCCATCCTTTATAGCCCAATCTCCACCTCACCCGAAACTCCCTCCAATATCACACCATCCTCTCCCGTTTTTTTGCCGCCAAAGCAAAGACAGATCCAGGCCTAATTCATATGGTAACGGATCGGCCATGAATATACCGGATTAACACCACCTCCGTTCCAAGAGACCCCAGCATGGTATAGTACTACAGGGATCATGTTGGTCATGCCGGATGCGCTGTCCGCTTGTAGCCTGCAAGGAGGAACAATCCCACACTCCGGCACGACCCTGTGCTTGGATTGTTCCTTGGAGAATTCCCCACATCCAGCTTCGAATGCTATCTCAGGAATATGGTTTCATAGATGGGTGTGTTAATTCGTTGGGAATCCAGGCGGTGGTATTGAGTGGCGCCCAATGCCCAAGGAGCCCTCCTACCAGGACAGCATCCTGTTCAGGTATGCCACAATAGGAAGAGATCAAAACAACCCTGATGTTTTGAGAAAAGAAGGGGGGAGAATAACGCTCGCCAAGTTTGTTGGGTGGCTTTAACCCGTCTATAAAATTGGGGGTGGTTGGGGTCTGTTGACCCTTCCGCGTACCAATTGTCGTCCTGTACTGACAAGCTTCATATTTGAGGAAAAAGAATGAGAAAGATGAGAAAGTGTCAATAACCATTCCATCCCCCCGTCCCCCCGCTCCCCTCTCCTCAGACTCTGTATCGTATCCGGATGGTTGGGATACGGATATAACCAGACGGCGGCTTTATCAGCGTGATCCAACTCTTTTTCGCAGTTCGCGACGAGCGTATGTCTATGTAATAACAATCGGAACAATTTGACCTGCCTGTTAATGTATCCACTATAAACCTGGTAGCCTTGGTAGGGCTCAAACTCACCTTCCAGTCGTTGGATTCCAGACCATGTTGCTCCCTGCATTGTGATGAGGATTTCAAAGTTCTCACTCCCATTAATTATAGCACAACAAGGTCAAGGGTCGATGGTCACTGAGGATTGAATCGTGGAACTAATCCTCTTCGGCTGAAGTCCAGGCGATGAACATGAAGGGAGTGAAGAATGACGGCTTGTTAATTTCCGGCGGCCCTTAAAGCAGTTAGGGCGAGAACGCTCAAAGATGCCTCCAACATATGATAAAAATAGGCCTTTTCTCTCCATATTTCAACTAGTAAGAGGTGACAACCAGACGACCCACCCCTTGACATCAGTCAGGGTCTGATTCAGCAGCAAACCATTCTTCTCTTCAGTTGCTTCGCTATTGTGCCCAGCTCGCATCCACCCTCAGGTCATCCAAGCAGATTAGTAAACAGCAAAGTTCCATTCGGTCATCGATCATCGTTGTGATCGGGCATCTCAGTAAGCATTCATTCTTCTTTATAGGGCTGAAACTGCCTGCACAACTGTGTGTCCCACCTCTTCGATATCAACTCCACCAAACTCTTGATATCTCTGTCCACGGCGACATTACACCAATAACATGCTGTGCGTGGCAATGACCGAAATATATTGTCGCTGTTGTTAAATTCGCAGAAACCCACCGGAGGCAAATCTTGCCAAGTAAATTTGCACGAGGGGCTGTAGCTCGCCTCCACTTTTTTGGTTGCTTTTTGGCGCAGAGAACTACCGAAAGCATCGATCCCAGCAAAAACAGGAAAAGTATCGGAGTGTAGCCACTAGTACTCGAGACTGGTGGTTGCCAAAAAAAAAAAAAAAAAAAAAAAAAAAAAAAAAAAAAAAGCATCCGAACTCCAGAAGGCTCCAGCTGTGGTGAAAAGCCCGCGGACTTAAAAAAAAGATCTCCGACGCGGAGCCATCTTGAATTCACCCAACCGCACCGTTGCAGAGAATAATTACGGTCTTGCTCCGAACCAAACCAATTTTCTAACCGTAATAACCAAAGGAGAGATGAATTATTTGTTGATCGTTCCGATGTGCCGTGTCCCTGGGCGGATGCGAAGGAGCCATGATGCCACTAAACCTCGTGTTGAAATTTTGAGTGCTGACAGATGAGATTCTTCTTTCTTCCATCCCCAGCCACGCAGCCAGCTGTCTCCCTAAGCTCCTAGAACCTCAGCCAATTCGGATCAAATCCAACGCAGAAATGTGCCTGCTATTGGCCACTGGATCATCATTTCGTCACTTTCGCCAAAACAGAGAAATCTGCATGGTTGGAATCGGTAAGGAATATTCCTTCCCTAGCCTCCAAGTTTCGTCCTCTGCATGATGTACGCCCGACGGCCACTAAAAAGCGACCTTGGAACAACAAATGTTAGACCATGTTGATGAAGCAGGCGGAATACTTTCAAGGAGATTGGATTGTGCTGGGGGGGGGGGCCGACTTGGTTGGCCCAATCGGCAGCATTTTTTTTTGTTTTTTTT